ATTAGTGGCAGTTATGTTAATGAAGCAGGACTTGATCTACAAGATTAGGTTGTGTCTTAAGTCAATCTCTTTTGAGATATAAAAGAGAGAAGTGAGCAGAGGGACATGAAGACCCCATAACACCAAGAAGGTAGTGCCAGGAGCAGAGTGTGTCCTTTGGACCTGGTGTCCCTGTATCTAGAGCAGGGGAATATTGATGACAAAGACCTTCCTGCAGAGCCAATAGACAGAAAAACCTTCCTCTGGAGCTGGCACCCTGAATTCAGACCTAGTCTCCTAGACTGTGAGAGAATAAATTGCTCTTTTTTAAAGCCGTCCATTTGTGGTATTTCTGTTATAGCAGCACTAGATGACTAAGACAACGTCTTACCTCCTCTACTCCCTGTTGTGTGATACGAGCAAGTCAGTTCCTGCCTGGAGCCTTGCTTTGCTCATCTGTAAACTGGGGATGATGCCTTCTGCCTTAGTGGGGGTGTTTGTCAACACTCAGCTTGCTGTTCAGGCACCGTCACATCCTACCGAGAGGCACAGTGTCTGAGCAGCTTTCTCCAGCCTCTGGGCCTCCTCCTCATCCCAAGAACCCAGTGCCTCACTGTACCAGTGTGTGCCCCTGCCCCCTGACAAGGGTCTACCTGCCCACATCGACCCTCTCCTGCCCTGAGAGGCAAGGCAGGGGACACTGCCAGCAGCTGACCTGGGCACTGGGTCCAGCTCAGCCACTGGATACTGAGTCTGGAGACTCTGTTTCTATCCTGTAAAATGGGGCTATAGACCTTGTCTGCTTTAGGTTTGCATGTAAAGGGGCTCTGCAAACTGTGGAGTGCTTTGCTGTGGAGCTCTGAGAAGACTCTCCACGTAGCTATGGTGTCTCCTCTGGCCTGGGTTCCTTGGAAGGTGAGCTGGGTGGAGTGGAGATTTGGGTGCAGGGGAGCCTTTCTGACTGCCCTCAATACACCCCTACCTGCTCCCCTCACAGATTCTGGGCCTTTCCATCAAGGAGATGGGTTGGGAAGGGCAGGCCCCACTTCCATCCCTCTGGACAGGCAAGGCCTGGCTACGTCCAGACTCATCTGAGCACAAATTTGATCTGCGACCTCTAGCCAAGAAGGTGCCAACCTATTCTGACAGATGACAAGGCTGTGCTTACATAACTGAAGTTATAAAATGGTTTTATTAACAACTCTTCAATACGGACTGGTGTGCATGAGGAAATAACTAACATCAGTTTGGTTGTCAGCGGTGTCACTCAGAGCCAGATGAGCCTGGCCAGCTTTCCTCTGGCCTCACATCCCATTCCTCCCTCCGTCTGGAAGCTCACCTGCCCTGGTAGCCCCACTCTTTCTTTAGCTCTGCCTTCAGGGGCCACTTCCTTGGCCAGCGCTTCTGATGCGCTATCAGCTTCTTTTGCTGAGTGCTCCCCCAGAAATGGGCTCCTGACCTACGGGTACACATGGGGATGACACACCCACTTGATACTGTGACCTGAGTCACTTCTGCATCCCCTACTAGAAGCAAGCTTTCTGCTAGCAGCGTCAGGTCAGCCCAGTATCCCCGTGTTCCCAGGGCCTGCAGTGTGTGGCGGGGGAAGACACCTAATAAACTTGATGAATGAATGAATGAACAAACAAAATTTGGATAAGGTAGCGCCCCTTTCTTATACTTCCTTTTTGTAGGAAGAGTGAGGATGTTAGGCGTCAGGATGGGGTCACTGAGGCCGTGTCACCTGCTGAACTCCAAAGTGCCTTGCCACCTTGCCAAGTAGGAAGTTCTGTTTTCACTTTTGGGGGTGACCATTGCACTCACTGCTCACCCACGAGACGTGCTCTGCCAGCTCCAGGATTCCAAGTCGCTGGTGACTCCCTTGTTACTTGCCACCCCCGCGTGGCCTGTACTTGTGTAAATTCTCTGTGCTCAGAGCCTTGGGAAAGCCTTGCGCATGGGACACAGCAATCTTTGCTACCAGCAAGGAAACCACATGAGGCTGTACTGAAGGTGGTAAATTGGCTGTGGGCAGGTCGAAGGGTGACGGTCAGGGTTCAAGCTCATGAGCCCCTAACAGGTGGGCCTAGCAACACCTAGCATAGGGTCCTCCGAACCTGTGGGCCACGCCCCCCACAGCATGCCCAGCACTGTGGGAACAGGGTCCTGGGGAGCCCAGGGACCTCAGGGGCTCTGGATATCGCTGCATGGAGGGTGAGGAGCTGCACGGAGGGTGGCCAGCAGGGGACCTGCGGGGAAGACATGGATGGCAGGGGAGCCTTTCCAACTGTCCTTAAAACACCCTGTACAGGTCCCCCACTGGCCTCCTCCCAAGGATTCTGGGATTTTCTATCGAGGAAATGGGTTGGAGATGGGTTTCTCGTACAGCCGGGAAAGCCAGTCACATCTGAGGTGTCAGGGCAGCCTTGGGATGTGGTGATGTCGTGCGACACTTGCCCAGTTGCCCCAGGCCGCCTCCTTGGAGCCAGCCAAGCAATGATTTTTTTCTTGTCAAACTGCTCAAACTCCCCGTTGGACCAGAAGGACCTCATGACGCTGTTTTTTTCCCCTAAATTTTATTTATTTTATTCTTGTTGCTGAGAGTATACACAGCAAAACATACACCAATTCAACAGTTTCTACATGTACAACTTAGTGACATTGATCATATTCTTCGAGTTGTGCGCCCGTTCTCACCCTCCTTTTCTGAGTTGTTCTTCCCGCTTTAACATAAACCCACTGCCCCTTAAGGTTCCTGTCTCATCTTTCACATTGCTGTTGTCAGTTTGCTCCCATATAGATCTCAAAAGAGCATAATGCTCAAGGCAGGCCATTTTTTACTAGATAAGTTAAACTATTGTTTGGTTTTAAGATGGCTTCAGGGAATATTTTTGGTTTAAGTTTTAAAGATAATCTCAGGGCAACAGTTTCAGGGGTTCGTCCAGCTCCTATGGCTCCAGAAAGCCTAGAGTCCATGAGAATTTAAAATTCTGTTCTGCATTTTTCCCCTTTGATCAGGATTCTTCTACGGAATCTTTGATCAAAATGTTCAGTAATGGTAGCAGGGGACCATCCATCCTGCTCTTCTGGTCTGATGACAAAGGAGGCAATTAGCCACACATTCTGCCTCTTACTCCTCTCTTCCTCTGTTGCCCCAGGTGAATAGAGACCAACTGTTGCGTCTTGGATGGCTGGTTGTAAGCTTTTCAGACCCCTGGAACTACACAGTGAACTAGGAGGTCAAACAGAAGCACTAAACACATTATTAGGCCATTTAACAGAGATGCCC